AAAAAAAAAAAAAAAAAAAAAAAAAAAAAAAAGTCAAATAGGAAATATTTCTCAGGTATGTATTCTTTACCACAATTAATTAGCTCTGCTATGGTACTGTGACAGTGGCCATAGGTATACAAACAAACATGGCTCTGTTCCAATAAAATTTTATTTATAAAAATAGCAAGGTGGATTTACCCCACACATCACAATTTGCCAACTCCTGGTCACTATAATTAGTCTTCAGGGAAAATAAAATTAAAGGTGCAGTAAAATTAAAGGCATACACATAATGGCTACAATTACATAAACTGTACATAATGACTATTAGGCAGGATTTGGGATTCTTATACATTTCAACTGTGACTATTAAATAGTATACCAGTTGGAAAACTCAAGAAGTTACCAAATACCCTATCTAAAATACTTACTCCAGGGTATTTTACCCAGAAGAAATGAAAATATGTTTGTCCAACAGCCAACATTATATTAAATGGCCAAAAACTCAAAACCTTCACGTTAAAATCAGGAGCAAGACAAGGATGCTCACTATCACCACTCCTCTTTGATATAGTTCTGGAAACATTAGCCATAGCAATTAGGCAAGAGAAAGAAATTAAAGCAATAAAGATAGGAAAGGAAGAAGTTAAACTTCTAAATATAGTCATTATTTGCTGACTATATGATACTCTACATTGAAGACCCAAAAAACTCCACCAAAAGACTTCTTGACTTAATTGAGACTTTTGGCAGAGTAGCTGGATACAAGGTCAACACCCAAAAATCAATAGCCTTCTTATACACAAATAACAGACTCACTGAGAAAGAAATTAGGGAAACAATTCCTTCTCAATAGCAACCAAAAAAATAAAGTATCTGGGAATAAACCTAACAAAAGAAGGAAAAGATCTCTACACTGAAAATTACAGCACTCTTTAAAAAGAGATCGAGGAGGATATAAAAAAATGGAAAGATATCCCCTGATCCTGGGTAGGAAGAATGAAAATAATGAAAATAGCCATACTACCAAAACTGCTATACAGATTCAATGCAATTCCAATTGAAATGCCAACACTATACTTCACAGAACTAGAAAGAAGAATCCAAAAAATCATTTGGAACCATAGGAGACCTAGAATAGCAAAA